TCAATAACAGTAATAGGCTTAGTTTTATACTCATATGAATATAACAGCTTTTGCAGGTTTTGTCTTTTCATTGATCTGCTCCTATTCACAGGCTAACAGAAGTCTGTATTAAATTTAATTTGGCAGTAGCAAGGCAGTGCTCATAAGACGTATTAGTATTGGGGAATATTAGGGAAGTTTTCATTAAAATATTTATTACTTTCACTGAATTTCTGAAATTTTAACAGAGAGATAAATCCTTGCTAGTAGGACACCTTCTTGAAAGCAACCCCTGCAATAATCCAGGATCACTCACAGGAATATATCAATCCACACTAATGAGATTGTTCACCTCAACATTTCAGCACATTTTTTTCCCTCTTTCTTACTCCCTTTCTGTCGGTCTTTATTATTATTTCATAAAAGCCCTGATCTATTTTATGAAAAACCAGGAAACCTTTGTGAAATTCATTACATCAGCATGAAAAATGTATTATATAAGTAAATTGTGCCCAGCACTTCTTTCATGCAAATGGCCTTTAAGCAAAGCAGGAAACTATGTTTATTTAACCTTTCAGGAGCCCTGTTTTCAGTCATCATGGTCTAAATAGCAGTGAGACAGTAGCACAGGCACACAGCCTACCACAGCAGGAACAGGCACGCAGGACCAGTTCTCCCCATTAAATGAACCATTAGATTGCACAAACTGGTAAAAGCCTAACTTGATCAGACTATTGTGGCTGTATAAATGTGGTTGAGGTCTCATTACCAGATCACATAATAATCCACACTCTTTCTCATCCAGGTGCTCCATTTGTTCAAGCACATTTTTAAACAAGAGAGTATTTATCTCTCTTGAATTTAAAGACTCTTAAACATGCCATCCTTCCCAGCCTTGTACAGTACCTGCACAACCTCATGAGACACTTGTCTCACACATCTTGTCTGATTTATCTTAGAGATTTTTTTTTTCATTTTAACAGCAGATTTTGTGAAAAAAGCCAGGACAAATTATTTTGTTAAACTGTAATGAAAAAAACTGCAATTACAATGTAATTAACCCTCTAAACCATGAAAAATCACAAAGATAATTCCTCTGCAAAAAAGGAAACCAATATGACTATACCTTTCATGAGAGCACTGCAGAGTCTTTTGGTGACCCTTTATTGTTGTAATAAAACTGTAATGCATAATAAGTACATTTTAATTTATTTTTTACTGTTGGGAATAGTCTTTCCACTAAAATGCTATAGCACTTAATTTGTGTATGAGTTGCACAACAAATAGAATTGACCTGTTCATCACAGCCATGGGTACCTGAGTCTCATGATTGAGATTAGGACGACTTCAATGACAATATGTACTGTTTGTAAAGTACAAGGAGCAGGTTCAGGACCAGAATGGAGACTGGGGCAGTTGTGTAGAGGCGGTTGTGAACTGGAAACTCCAGTGCTGGAGAGATTATCCCCTGATATCAACTCCCCATGCAAATCAGGATGATGATTCAATTTTAATATTCCTTTTTTTTTTTGCATTTACAAATCGTTTCAAAAGATCACAGCTTAGTTTCTGGGGTGTTAAATTAAACAAACAACTTGTTTTTAATAACCATTCATAATGTAGGTGGTTCCAGGCATGGGAACACTACCTCCAGCCCTATTCCTTTACCAAGGTCTCTCACAAAGGGCTTTAAAGCTGCAAATCTGGTGCTTTTTCATGCTTCGGTGTCTTGTACATCCTTGCCTTGCCATTTACAGCTGGGCAGGCACTTTGACACATTATTATGTAAAGAAGGAATTCTGGGGCGAGACAGAAGAAAACAACAGAAGATTCTATACATTGCAGAAACCAGAAATCAGGTATCAGAAAACGATCTTCTTCCAAATTGAGTCTGCTGTGGGTGGACAATGGGCCTTTCAAAGCTGCACATTGGTTATTAACACCTTTTAACTAACCACAAAATGCCAGAAGTGGTACAAGGGTGCCCGGCCTCACTGCCGGTCTTTAAAACATTCGGGATGCCCCGACAGCCTGCAGATTGTACAGGGCTGCAGTGGTTAAACGTCATGGACTTTAACCAGCTGAGACAAAACTGTGTGCAGTTCTCATGAAGATTGAATAAATACAGGCAATGCTTCAAAATTGTTACTTTTAGACTAAGTGATGCCCCTGGAATTAAAAAGTTCCCTAAGCCTATGTGTTTATTAATCATAAAGTACATTTTCAAATGACAGAAATGACTTCCATATGTTTTCTGACATATTTCGGTGACATTTTATAGACTAGGCATCTTGCATGCAATGTCATGAGGTTAGTTTTAGCAATCCTCCTCTCTAGATGCGGTTTTTGTATGTCAGCTATATTCCACATACAGTCTTGCCATTTAAAGAGACGTGCTGAGGGGATGGCATTGTGCTCTGTCAAATGTTTGGAAAAAATGCAGATATAGTAAACGTTTATTCATGTTACAGGCACAGAATTACTGTTTTAACGATTAGTGATTCATGGTGCAAAGAAGGAAAATATAAAACAATTAGTTATAATGTTATTTCAGCATACTTTTTTAAATTTGTGAACTGAAGGAATGAAACAGAATTCGTATTTTGTATTATGAATATTTATAATCAACATTTTTTGAAGTATAAGCAAACTTCAAAGCTAGACAATGGTTGTGAAAATTCCTTGTAATTACAATGCTTTTTGCAAGTACGAGATAGCACATTGAATTTGTAAGATACCTGTATATCACACTGAATTTCAACATTAGGACGCTGGATAAAGGTCCCTGATGATTAGTAATTAAACAACAATTAAACCTTTAATTATAACCACAAGTTAATCAAATATTTTATTTTTAACATATATTTGTTATATAATTCCGTCTCATCTCCACACAGAAGTACTTTACCAATAGTGACAAACTGTATCCTAACAGGTGAAAAGACAGTACGCGGAGAACTGTGTAAAACGCAAATAGCAGGAAAACGGCAGGTTAATTTTTCGGATGACACCTACAAATAGGTCAGTTAGGTTTGTCAAAACAATTAGCGTTAATTTGAGATTTATTCCGTTAGATCTTCAAGACTGTTGTATATAAATAATGCATTCAGTCAGCCCAGATGAACCTGCGCAATCATGCAATCACTTGACATTTTAACAGTACACACTCCGTACATTTAGTCTATATACTGCACAAGGAACGACTTCTGCTTGGATAAAGTGTGCATTTCGGTGCTTTAACTCACTTTAACCACGCTGGTGTGTTATTTTAAGAATTGTTTTAAACGTTTTAAATAAAAAAAATAAAAAGCTTTTATTAGGATTTAAAATAGGTGTTAATGTGTATTGACTCTCCGATTTGCGGTAGTTCAGCGTAATCTAAACCTCTATTTATTAGTTCTTTCCACAACAATTAGAGTGCAGTGCCAGGCCCCGGAAGCTATACAGTGGCTTTAGAAATGGTCTGAACAGTTTACAATCGAGTGTGGTACCATTACCTGTTACAGGCTGTTTCGGTGTCCCTTATCTCGTGCGTGCGAGAGGCCAGAAAACGGCTCCTGTAATTTAATCTTACTCTACCGAAACTGCGGTACACTTATCCAACTTTTCCCTCTTGTTTGCACAAGAGATCAGTTTGAAAACGGTCTGATTTTACTCTCAGTTTAGTGCAGGCCGTATTTGTAAATGTAAAGCAATGATTACAATTGATCTATCTCATTGATTCTTCCTTCAACCCTTTTCTATTGAAATGAAGTACCGGTTCATTTTTTTTCTTCGTGTCGGAATTTTGCTCCTGCACACGAAAACTATCATTTCATGTGGCTTTTTTTTTTTACTTTCTACCACGTCCTGTACTTGTTATACTATGGGCAGTTATCTACTTAGCTATGAGCCCTCGATCTCTGTCGGAACCCGTCCACACGCAACGGGATTAAACCGCTGTTTGGAGAGCTGCGGCCATTATTTCACATCACTATTAAGTTTTAGTGAGTGACAAGACGTTTACACTACAGGAATCTAATCTTGCTTTTCCATCTAAACATGGGATTTCTCCTTTACTCGCAGCTCTCTGGCGCCACTCTAAGAGAAATCCTACAACCGCAGACGAGTCTCTAAGGATTTATCAGGCTTTTCATCAAGGGCTGAGGAGTGAAATATTCCCCGAGTTTGATCCGCCTGTAAACCGACGCTAGTGCTAAATTAACTGATTCCAAAAGCGTGGTGTCGCCAAAATAGCTAACGCCCTGGGGTTACCGACTTTATTATTATTATTATTATTATTATTATTATTATTATTATTATTGTGGTGTGACTATACATTTGTAAAGTTTATTACTAAAATTATATTTAGTTATGTACGGTATTTCTGTAAATTGTAGAGCAAAGTGTTAATCATTTCGAACTAATTCTGTGTACTAAATAATATTCTATTTATATCCGCGGTGATTAAGTAATGTGCACGGTAATTTCATCTGGTTTATGTAAGAACTAATAAGAAGACAATTATAAGCTCCCCTCCTTATCCTGCGCACTGAATGAAGGTAAAAGACGTTTTGTACTGTCTCCTTATTTAAAATTCTCTTAATTGAAACTTAATTCCCATTGCCTGCTTCTCCTGGCGCATAATTAGACCACAGCATTCGGCTTAAAGCGATATTTTTTTTTCCCTGGCGTTTCTTCTCAAAGGCAAATCTGCCGTGTGTAACTCGTTGGTTAAACAAGGGCACATCCATTTGTTAATTGATGCAATTACGCATAACCCGTAATGGCCACGTTGGTCTCGAGGCAGCCATCAATCACTCTTCTATCGACCTGCCAAACCATTTACATTCATTCCTGTTGGGACCGTTTCTAGCTCTAATAGAGAAAAATGGGTACATCATCGTCATTAATTAGGGGCGGGACCTTTGGCCAGAGAACGGACGCTACCAGAAAAAAAAAAAACAGGAGGAGAAATTGGAAGGTTCGCTCAACACCCCAGAGGGACTTCGACAGTGTTAAATAAAACTTATTTATTGCTTTCATGAGGATGTCCCGAGTCTTCGGCGAAAATTAAGCGCGCTGTTTCTCCTAGGCTACTCTTAGCTGCCTCCACACGGGCTCCGCGCCGATTCATTTGAACAGCACCGCAGTCTGCACACTTTCATCTGTACTTGATGCGCCCGGATATCTTCATAAGAAACCCCCTCTCCCCGCCGTCTTGAAAAACAACAGATCGATCCCGCTGGCGTTAAAGTACGCGTCGAGGAAAGTTTGTGTGCCTGCGCATGTATGTACATTGATTGTTCACCTGCGTCATTCCCACTGAACAATAAAGCCAGAAAACGCGCAGCTGCCTTCATATAATGACCTAAAAAATTAAAAGGATTAAAGGACAGGTTTAAATGGGTTGAAGGTGTACATCTCTATTTTCCCGCACACGAGAATAAACGCATACAGGCTGACCAGTTTGGCTGTGTCCGTGTGCTAACTTAATTTACTTAATTCAGTACAAAGCACACCTCAGCTATAATTACTTCAGGGTGGAAAGAGACCGTCAAAACCCTTTTACAGATCCTGTCTTTTGTGCTGCAATGTACCACAGCACAACCGGACACGGGCGTGCAGAGCACACCTAAGGAAAGGCGATGTTAGATATGATTGGCAAAGACATTATTCTATCCTTGCTATCCTGCCGTTCCGGGATTACTGTGACGTCACATTGATACCCTTGCATGGATGAATGCTAAAGAACTATAGAGGCACAAATAATAGCACGAGAAGAGCCCATATCTTGCAAGACTTACGTTATCGTTTTAACCCTCTTCAGCTAAAGCACAATATCAGTATTTTTTGTTACCGTTTTCTTTTTTTAAAAAAATTCTACCTTTTATTATTTCCTTCGGTGGATCAAAACCTCCTTACTGCAGTGAACTGTATACTACATGTCATGCTAAGTCTTCTAAGTGCAATGATGTATTATTGAGCAAAAGGCCGTAGGTGGAAATGTGTGTAAGAAGGTGCTTTTGAAGTAGATTTGGTTACAATCGATCGGGGGAAAATAATATTGCCGATGGTCACGAAAGAAGCAGCTATGTCTTTCTCTCAGTTCGGATATCCTTATAACGCAACTTCTCAGGTAAGAGAGTCATCAACATTTATCTTCCATTACCTTGACATCTTTTTCACTGTGTTTTTAAGAACCAGTTCAAGAAATACAAATCGTGTTATTGCTATTAATATAGAGTTGTAGCATAGTAATCTAGTAATCATTTCAAGTCCACTCCAGCCAGTGTGGTTCAGCTGCAGGTTTCACTTATATAGCTTTAAAAGCTCGGCATCAGATTTTAGTGAAATATGTTCAATACATATTTAAACTATTTTTGTTTTGAGAGTGGGACATCTGTGCAACGTGCGCTATGTTCTGTTTATTGCTGCTATATACAATATATTTTCTTATTTAATGATCTCTCATTGCTTGTATTATTAATAGTCTTATTTTAATATTATGGCTTCTGATATAAGAACGATTTGTTTGGCTAAAGATGTACAACAGAGATGTAAGTGACCACCAGTCTTTCGAAGTTCTTGTTGGTCTTCTTTATATTCGCTCGAATTTTTTCCAGCAAAATAAAATAAAAGATAATGCCACAAAGCTTCCATATCAGTTTTCCAGAGATAGGTTTCGAGCCGTGTACACTAAAATAGTTTTAAGTACGGAGCAGATAGTTTTTTGAGAAACTATGTTAAAGACATGCATGTTGAAGTTTCTCACAGTTGATGTTGAAACGAGGTCCAAGCAGGAACGAAAATACTGTATGACTGTCACAATAACAACACCCCGAGATTAATTTGAACAGGAAAACGGTAGAAAAGAAGAGACTTACTTTTTTTCCGAGTTTAAGTCTCGGAATAACTTGCCCGAGTTTAAACGTTACACTTGTTAAATCTCAGACTGGTTTCATTCAACAAGATCGCATTCGCTGGGTCGTTTATTTCCAATATTCTTTGACTTCAGTTTCGCCAAAAGTCACGTTGGCTTAGTATATTCTGTTATTTCCAAACTACCGTTACACATTTACACGCACAGAGCTCATAACCAGGCCATGTTCAAATACATCCCAGCTCACATATTCATGCAGTTCTCTGATACACTTAAAGTAGCCTGTGTATGCATTTGTATTTCATGCCCCTTCCTTTTCATGCAATGTAAGTCAAGTACAAATCTAAATACACTGTATTTGATAGATATATATGTGCACAGTTCTGTGCAGGACTGTTATACTAGCCTATATCTGAATGACAGTTCTATCCACACTTCTCTCCTCGCAGTTTTTCGTGTCAGCAAACTCCAGTACGACTTGCTGCGATTCAGTTTCCAGGTCGGTATCGGAAGGGTCCACCAGCTCAGCGCAAGCTGCGGCGGCTCTCTGCTGTCCGTCTTACGAGAACCGGCTGCTGGCGAGCACACGGACCGAGCTCAACGCGGCTCTCGGTGTGTACGGTTCCCCTTACGCCGCGGCGGCTGCCGCCAGCCAGAACTACGCCAACTACTTCTCCTACAGCCCGGACCCCGCTGCTCTGTACAGCACGCTGGTACGCTCCGCACCGTCTCATAAAGCCAGCGCTCAGCGATTTCGATCGATCACTTCAAGCCAGATGTTTATTGATCCTCATTGTTTTTCCGCGAGTCTGTTCTTCACATGAGCTACAACACAACTAGGCATGCATGATGTCTGGAGCGCTGTCTTCTCGTTTTCTACCCTGTTTTGGGGGAAAATTCCAGAGTACTTCAGTTTACCGGCAACCCAAAAGGCACAAAAGCTAATTGTACAAATTTATTATGTCCTTCAGACTTCCCTAAGACTGCTGTTCTTAAGGGTAACAACTTATATGGTGTGAAACAACTCGCGCAGAGTTAATGCTGAATAACTACAGAAGCCTATTGTATTTTACATATCTAAAGGTCAGTGACATAATAAACTAAAACGGTTAAATAGACTCAAGATGTATTCTGAAATAACACAAACGTATGTTCAATACCACGTTGTATATAAGAACAAAAATATTTATTCCCCTTAAGTAATATATTGAAAAGATGCATACAGTTAAAGTCATAAGATTAACGGTATGCATATAGGAACACCCGGCTCGTGAAAGACTTTGTCTTTGCATATCTGGACACGTTTTTCGCTCGTCACGCCTGGGTATATTCTGACTGGTGTCATTCTTGTTTCCAGAACCCTCAGTACGACATCAAGGAAGGAGCTGGAAGTTTGCACTCCGGGATCTCGCAGTCTGCCGCCTATTACCCCTACGAGCACTCCCTGGGACAGTACCAGTACGACAGGTACGGCCGTCTCACAACACAGGCGACCGCACCGGCTGCTGTCCAGCTGCTTTTTCCGCCCGCACCCCACTACAATACTTCTCCTTAATTGTGTCAGGAGGATTTACATTTTGAAATGGAAATAAAACAGTCTCGTTTATTAATTTCATTCAGCGCTGTTCTTTAACCTGAAACTCTAAACAATCACCCTCTATGGTGTATTCATCGATTCACATGGGGCGATATTAATATGCATGCATTGTATATTTATTTACTGGTTTCGTCCTACTACAAAAATCCCATCTCAAATGTCGTGACGTGTTGTTAAATATGGATTTTGTGCAGACACAGAACTCCAGTAAGCCCAGATTCGTGCAATGTTGATTAATGCCCAAACAATGACTTTTTCAAAGTACTCAACGTTAGAGGAGTCCTCACAGATTTAACAGACTCGTTCAGTTGAGGTATTTTGGATAAAGCACTTTATTTATTTATTTATTTTAAAACGCACACTTGGTTCCTCGAAGGAAGAAGAAAAAAATTGTGTTATTATTCCAGAAGGAAAAAAAAACATGCAAGTATTTTATGGGAATGTTTTTCTGTATGACAATTAATATTCCTTGCCTTTATGCCCAGGTACGGGCCTGTGGATTTCAATGGCACAGCCAGGCGAAAAAATGCCACCAGGGAAACCACCAGTACCCTCAAAACCTGGCTGTACGAGCACAGGAAAAACCCGTACCCCACCAAGGGGGAGAAAATCATGCTGGCCATCATCACCAAAATGACCCTCACGCAAGTGTCCACCTGGTTCGCCAACGCCAGGAGAAGGCTAAAGAAGGAGAACAAGATGACCTGGTCTCCCAAAAACAAAGCAGGAGATGAACGAAAAGAGGAACTTGAGAAACAGGACCATGAAAATGACCTGGACTCTGTCAACAAAGGTATCGGTTCACTTCGCTATGGGTCTCTGCATCTGTGACACCGAGAGTGATGTGCAGATTAAGAATAACACACTAGCAACACCAAACATCAAAAAACCTCAGTAATTGCATTTTAGTGGATTTTTTCTATTTTAAAAAATTATACTTTACCCTGTCACCCCACATTATTTCACACTCAACCCACACGGAGAAGAAGAAAACCTTTCTGAGAAGGGAAGCTGGGAGCTGTAACTAAAACTTGTCAATGAATAGAAAGGTCTGATTTTTTTAAGGTGTGGTATTTTACAGACTCCAAATGCAAGACTCTTATGAGTGGTAGTAGCATGGGGCTAAAGAAAACACTATGAAGCTTTCACGGCAACACAGTGGGATGGGGAACTCAGGATAGACTCTGCAATACCAAATACTGTATCCAAGGAATAACCAGGTGCCCCGAGGGGGGTGGGGGGCTGTGAAAATGACAGTATTGGCGCGTGTACTGGAAAGGTGTGCCGTCCGTCGTCTCTCTTGTAATTCCTGCTCTTTCAAACGCAGATGCCAAGGAGTGTAAAGAGGAGAAGGATCTGAGGCTGAGTGACCTCGAGGACATGGACGATGAGGACTGTGACAAGCTGGACAGCGACGGCGAGAAGGCGTCAAGGGGCGAGCCAGGTCTCCGGAGAGCCCTGGCCACCGAGCCTCCAAAAAGAGACTGCAGCCTGGCCCTGGCCATCCCCAATAACCTTCACGCATTTCCGTGCAATAACAAGGGCCTCGGAGCTGTGGCGTCAGACTTCTTGGACAGTCCCGTGACTAAACCAGCAGGGGTCGTCCCCACCACTGGTGTAGCCCTGTCGCATTTTGAAGCAGCGGAGAAGCCCAGAATCTGGTCTCTGGCCCGCACGGCGGCCACCAGTGTCATACTGGGTCCCACCCACAGCAGTAGCGAGGCCAGGACTGGTGGCATGGACTGCCAGCTGCAAGCCGGAAGACTTTCCATGGTGAGTGGGGGTCAGTACAGAGAACTGCGGTGCCTTCAGGACCTGCCGAATTCTGAAACGTCGTTTCCAGATGCACCTCACTCCCACAGCAAGATGTACAGAACTCCAGGGCTTAATTATAAGCCCCTGCAGCTCCACTGCTCCTCATACCCAGTGCTACCCGAAACCTGCCAGTACTCGTCTCTCGAAGGTACCCGAGCCTTGCTGGGCGTTCTTAATACACGTAGCACACAGGAGGAAACATGCTGCCTTTGCAGTTGCACTGTTGCTGTGCATATACTGTGCATTTCCACTCAATCTAGTCTTTTTTCTTTGCTCATTAATTGCAATTACAATTTGGGGATTAAAGCCATGTTCATTATACATATAGGAACAAATTAAACTTCATAGACCTGGATGAAATGAGTTCGATTTTGTATGCAATTTGTAGACCATAATGGGGGAGAGTGCTACCACACAAAATAGCGTGCAGCAAAAAAACATTTCCACAGTCCAAACAGACACACATACCCAGATGCAAAAAGAGAGATGGGGAATCTCCAGTTAAGTCTCCTTCCCTACAGAAACAACAGAGTAGTGATTCTGTGTATGCTTGACGTGTCTGTAAGTAGACTGAACAACAGCTGTGTGCTTAATTGTTTGTTTGCATTGTCTTGTGTTATTTAACACAGTCAATCTCTTCATCCAGGCTTTGGAAGAAGCGCAAAATCGGAGCCAGACTCCACAGACCTCAGAGACGCGTGCTCAGTGCAGCAGGACGACAAAGTCACTGCGTTCAGGCCTGTGCTGAAGAGGTGAGGAAGGTGAGAGCTGCTGTCCTAATCGTTGCGTTCGCCAGACACCACCCCCATGTGAGAAGTGCAAAGATATGGAGTCTGATTAAGACTATGTGAGCATTCAACGTCTGAGCATTGTCTCGGAGTGGTGCCTGGATCTGCAAACACACACACAGAAAGATCATGTATGAATCAATTAGGTCAGATAGGGCAGATATAAATCAATTCAACAAGGTTTAATGAAGCTTCTTTCTGAGCTCTGCTTGGTTGTCAATGTACAACAGTCTTTTAGACCTGTGCAGAATAAAGATAGATCCTTAGTCTTTGTTAGAATTAAGCCAAACTCAAGAATCACTTTAAAACAATCCTGTTTGGGGCTATTTGTTTAAGTTATTATCGCTTCTCCGTTTCGTCTACTGATAATTAGATACAAATGTATTTTGTACATTGCAAAGAAATAACCCCCGGCCATTCTTGGAGGTTTGTTTAGCTGCAGTATCAACTGGGGATTGCCAATTAATATTTTTTTGACCATAAGACGTTTTTTTTTGTTAAGTTTCAAACTGCCTGCTAACAAAAAAAGTGCGAAGTATTTTTATTTAATACCATGGTTAATGGCCATGTGAAGATATGAAGTTATTCAAGCCGTTCACAGGCTAAGCGCTTTGTGCGCCGGCATTAATTCTGTTATGTATTTTGTAAGACTGTGACTTAAGATTTGTATCTTTTCAACTCTTTTATCTTTGCGAATGTGCTCAACAGTCACAGTTAAAAAGCTTAATAATATGTATTCTTCTATTTTATTAGGTTGACAGAGGTGTAGCCGATAACCGCTGGGAAAATCGTGTAACTTCAATAATGCACTAAGAATCTGCGACAGAGAAACTAAGCTCCGAGCTGTCAGCTGTGACTTCTGCGACTTTTTTAGTCACCACAGAGACTCTAGAAACTGTGAATGCAGCCATAGAATTTTTGCACAATATTGTTTATGCTGAGGGCGTCTGTATGCAAGTCTTAATAAGAATGCAACGGTTTCGGAACTAGAACTAGTTTCTTATTTATGCACTGGGCAATCGTAGCGTAGAATTATAATTTATTTATTCTTTCGTAATTCATGTGTCTCCTCAATGACATCATCTGATTATGTTGCAAACGTGTTATATGTATTGCTAGATGTCATATTTTTATGTTCAATTAAAAAAAATGCTTAGCGTTTTTATAGGTCGTTGCGTCCAGAGAGGAATCTTCCGGAAAACATTGCGTGTCGTTACTTTAAAAATACAAAATACACCGTGACTTTTCTCCGAGAGTTTGTGAGATTTTTCTGTCATGTATAAAATATTTTATAAGAATGCAATTAAAAAATGTTTCTGAGTCCCGATTTCCAGTTTGATATACATTCAAACGGCGAATTAAAATGTTGCTAGTTCAGCTCTTGATCAAAGTTTATCTTTTTGACTCGATTCATAAAAATGGAGCATTGTTAGTAGGTCATAATTCAGTCAAGGGCATTAATGAACTTTACAAGACAAGGAAGAAAGAGGACAGCGTCTCTCCATTGTCTTTATTTAATTAGAAATGGCATCAGACACTTTCCTACTGTTCAGACTAAAAACGAGGCAGGAATACGGAATGAATGCATCTTTGTTCCCTGTGTCGAGGAGCCGTTGCAATAATTCAATAATTGTGGTAACTAAGAGGTCACTTATAGATCACACCGATAAGGACCATTCTCGTGGTTCATCTGGGTCAACAACCGCTTTAACTATTTTGTGGTCTCTGCAGTCTTACCCAGTAACTGCCATTATAAAACTGCTGTAAAATAAACCCACATTAGTATGCCATTGTATGTTCGTGTATTTGAGGCTGTACGCGTAGTCATCGGAGTTTCACTTGTGGAGGACAAATGAGAGGAAATGGAACGTTATATATATAACATTAAAAGCATGCTGTAACCGCACACTAAATGTTTTTGTTTTATGTATGGATAAAGTATGAGGCGCGGAGAGGGGGTTGTTTTCAAATCTCTTCCATTTTTCTAGATTTTAATTAAAAAACACCTATGCACAGATTTTGAGAAACAACGATGCTGCTACGCTGATCATATATATCAATTTTATTGTCTTGCTAAAGACAATACGGAATAGATGATCCTGAACTGCAAAGTCTTCCCGTCTAGTAGTTTCTAGTAGTAGTTAAGCTCACGTTATAGAGGCCTGATGCAGGTTAATTAATATCAACCGTACATTAGTGCACTGAACTATTAACAAAAATTGTGTTCTCAAGTACCATCTGACTGTAACAGACCTGTTATGGAAATACGTTAGAAGTCTACAACAGGACATTAGCTGAAAAGTTAAATTTTACAAACACAGGGAAGCAAAAGAGGAAAAAAGTAAAATAAAGACATTCGTTTTACTCTAGCAATTAATTTCACGTGAAGCCTAAACTAATAGCGGCACAGCATCTGAACTCTCTTGGAAACCTCTGAGATGCCTTAGGGCGGTGTTTACTCAAAGTATACGAGGGGCTTACTCAAAATCGTGCCCTCCTTAATTGTTCTGAACACCCAGAAGTCCCAGCTCTCGCGCCTCAATTTTAACACCACCGCACAGTTAATGCACTTGGAGCAAGTGCAGTGGAACATGTCTTTCACTGGTCTGGCACACACGTTACTCTTACAGTTACAATTCTGTAATTATTCATGAGGAAGAGAAGGTTTTTGCTTATCTCGTAGAACGTTGCATCACAGGCTACGGTAGCCGACGTGATTATTATTTGGCATGCGGGGGTCATTCAAGGCTTACGGTATATAAACCTTATTTCATTATCGCTCGTCCTAAGAAAAGGCAATCTTTTGTACCAGCATTTTAGAAATGGCACAGTCTGTTGCGAGTGACCCGCAGCTTAGAGGCAAAGAAATTAAGCTACCAAAAGATAAACATTATTTCAGGTCGGATTTAAAGGATTAGTGCTTGTAATAAAGAGTATTAGGCCCACTCACAGGTGTCCTGTGCTAGTCTGCTTGTGCCTTTTCTCCTCAGGGGAGTCTCGACATAGATAAAAATATCAAAATAAGATACGCTCCTTATTTTGCATTGCAGTAACTTTTGATTGTGCACGGAATTCCCTGCAGTTTCCAGAAGATCACAATAACAAGCGGACAATCTTGTATTGTATTTATTGCAATAACTTCAGTTTGTACTGGCTGATTATACAGATAAGAGCGGATCCCCTCGAGCCGCCGGCCCAGCAGTGAAATACTGGCAGAGATTCTATCAGTAAGAATTTCTAAAGCTGCTAAACTAGGTCACCAGGTGTTAAACTGCAGAGACAGAGAAGGTAGTTTAAAAGAAATGGCCCTCTTGTAAATATACTATCGCAGTTGTCATCGGATGTTTTTTTTTCCCGCTTTCAATTTTATTATTAAGTTGTAATTCATGAAAAAGTTTAATTTTATTTACGTTTTTTCTTCGTAAATACAGCGCTTGTTCGGAATACAACCAGGCATCCCCAAATGTAACAAAACAAAGGGCCTTTAGGTATTAGTGGAAAAAGGTGCTATTTATAACGTAAGGACTATTTGTTTAAATATCTAAACGAAATTAGCAAAAACCCTTCCATGTGTAGAAATCTTCGCCTCACAAAAGACCACACCACCCATTTTCACAGCTTGTCTCACCTGTGTTTGTCTGCCTGACTGCTTCGCCACAGGTCTGCCGTGAAAGGGACAAAGACAAGGTGTCTTTCCAGATCAGTAACGACTACTGTCCGCCACACACAGAACAGCAGCAACCAACACAATCTGCCAGCACGCAAGTTATTGAACAACCCTTCATTTTCATAGTGTTTTCCGAGATTCTAACCCCGAACTGTTGTTCTCATGCACTTTTATAAAGATATCCAAAAAAGCAGATATTTTTATTCACGTATTGCGGCAGTCAATGCAATTGCACGAATTCTCATTTTCAACGACACCACCAAAGCATCCATTTACACAGCAGGACACCGGAGGAAGTGTCGTGAAAGTACAGCACTCGCGTCCAGCCCCTAACTAGAACCGGCAACAGCCCGAACCGAAAGCCCATCTACCACTCCACCTTTCACTCATGTTTTTCAACAGCTAATTTGAGGTTTTTACAGTATAATTTAAATACATAAAATAATATTAAGACTGAAGAACACCAATCCCATTTTAAAATCGCTTTGAAGAAATAATATGAATATAATCTAATAATAATAATTATTATTATTATTAAACTTCAGCCTTATTTATCTCCAAATCGTACAGTAAACATTGATTCTCTTTATGCAAATATGTCCTGGACCGTATGCAGGTAAAGGGAAAGTTCAAAAAGCATTTTCTGTACAGCTGTTATATAGGTCTGTATATGTCCTCTCACACCCTGCTGTTTTACCTGGGAAACATTTCTTGCAAAACGAAGGATTAAATTCTACTTTCTATTTTCTTATGAGCAAACAACAAAATTAAGGTGACACGCTGGGCATATTTTAAGAGTTATGTGGTTTTTCTTTTTATTAAAGGTCAACCGACCGTGATTCAAGATTATCCGTCTAGATCAGCAATTCTACGCAATCTGTCATACAGGCAAGATATGTATCGCAAATCTCTCCTAATATAATCTTTTGGAATCGTATTCTGAATACTGTTTTGATTAAAAATCAGAGCTGGGCATGATGGCGGAATAATATGAAAAAGGAATTTAAGAGCACAGTATTAACATTTAATGAAAAATTGGGTTCATCCTGATTTAAAATAGCAAAATCGTTGCAGGGAATTGAAGGGAGGTCTTGGGTGATCTTTATTATGAATTATACATCTAATATTAAGAAACTGTTATGACAATGGTCTGTTCGTTTGTTACACACTCCTTAACAACAGAATCATAAAAGGTGTGATTACATGAGGTCCAATGAATCAATTATATAATAATGATATTTTAGAGGCTTGTTATAATTAACATTTTTAACAAAACAGTTTTGGAAGCTAAATTGATACTTCAGGAACCGCCGCATCAATAATTTATGATTCTTCGAGATTATCCAGGACAAGCAAAACAGACAGTAACATCGTGAAAAATAAGTATATTGAAATGCAAGATCTAAATAAATATGCGACGGTATTAAAATATACTGTATATTTAATTTAATGCACTTTCCCACACAAACCTCATAAATTAGGTGAGTATTGTCTCACATTAATATTCAACAAGTTTAACTGATATTTCTCACTGCATGTCTATAAACTCTATGTGCTTAACACTTTTAATATGTTTTTCTAGTAAGAAAATAAAATACCAACTCTCAATCCTGTGTTGTTAATGTAGCATTCAGTGTTCCTGAGGTACACGGCCGTTTTCCGTCAATATTAAATATTTATAGTTGGAAGGTTAATTAAAAGTTCGATTACAAAGAAAAGATGCCAACCACTGAAAGTAATGGGGAAAACGCAACAGGATTACAGAGAAACACGATACCTGAGGGGAACAATGTCGTGCAATTCTGCCATTTTTCAGCACAGTTGCCGGGCAGCTATGAGATCAATTAGAAACCTTTTCCTCGAATCGTCCTCCAGGACAGGCGAAGTGACTGCTTGCAAACACTTCCAATACAGCAGATGAAAATTTAAGCAGAGACCACTACAGCAGTTTGCCAATTCTATCCCCTCCTTACAAAAGATGCTGTGCTGTACTGTATGTCTATAGCTTGTAATGACACAGACCTAGATGTTACAAACGTGTATGAAAAATGAAAATTAAACACCCGAAGTTACATAACATATCATGGATTTCTTTGATGAGAGTTGCACCAGTAGGCCTCCAATTAGCTCACAGTAGACGTTCTGTTGTATTATTTTATTAATTTATTTTTTATGAACAGGTGAAAAACATGCAATACAGTAAACCAAACCATTCTGTTTTTAAAATGTAAATCTTTGCCTGATATTTTTTTTTTCAAATGCATTCACCAGTCAAACACTACTACAGTAAACGTAAGAAAATGCAATTCATTAGAAATAGGTCAGGGAAAATCACAGATTTATCTGGGTTTGGATGGTAGCAAAACCAGTCACTTGTACTGGAATAATCCCTTATAAGAGAGTCTTATCTCTCAGTGTCAAGAGGGGCAAATGTTTCAGATGTAGCACAGCCTTCACTAACAAGCAGATTAGATAGACTTCTCATCCACAAGTGTACAGTCAGACCTCCTGCTGTCAGGTCAATGTGGCTGTAGGGACTTGTAATGTCAGTGCTGTGTAATGACTTCTTAAACTTTTGGGTTGGGATGGGACCCTGTGCTCTAAGAAAATCACAGCCATTATTATAGGACTCTTTTTGCCCCATACCAACTCCGACAAAATCTACTAGGAAAATAAAACAAATCATTCTTAAATCGTTTCATGCTTTTACCCAAAACAACTAACATTTGGATGTTACCCAAAGCAACCACAGAAAAAAAAATGCATTGCTTAAGGCTACAACGCCAGTGACCCATCTCTGATTTGAGCCCACACCTTTCCAATTACAATCACAGAGGTGCTTTGCTTGCTTCACAACAAAACAAAACCATTTTTTCAAATCGTGGGCAAAATCTGAAGGAAGATATGAGGTGGAAGTTATGCCAAAGTAAAATTTATGTTCTGCTGCTATTTACTTTACAACTTGAAACTTTAGTGAAAGCCTGAACCTTTTACAGTATGTGGAGCTATTTTCTTAGTTAAAAAAAAAACAGTTAAAAGCAAATGACAAGATGCTGGTCTGATTTACAGAAACCTAAACGATATTTGGTATCTTCTTTAGGTTTATGTGTGTTATAATTTAATAGCTTCAAAGGAAAACTTAAACACTTAAACGCTACTGCTGGTGCCACTACTACAGTATGACAAATCATCACCAGAACAACAATAAAAAATAACCAAATTAATACAGTGCTGCTCATCTAACAAATGAGACTAAATGAAGTTGGTGACTGATGTGTCCCACGCTGAGCAAGAAAGTTTCTAAAACAAAGTTTTCATGCCGATGCCTCAGGGTTCAAATG